GATCTCCAGCCCGAGTGTTATCCCATGAGACAGCGCGAATGCCCTGGCCCACTACGTCGCAGTGAGTCCACAGCCCCTCTCAGCGGCCTGGCAGGTGATGGCACTCGTGAGTTCTGGCAAAGTCCGGGCCACTTACCCGAGGCAACCATGCGCGCCTCGCTGTCGGGCTGTGAGGATGGCTGGCCAGAGCCCTCAGTCTCCTGGTGCAACCAGCGAAATGGCCACATCGTGCCTGACGTGGGTGTCTGAGAAGCGCTTCATGTCGTCACCGTTCATCGCACGTGGATGGCCTCTGAGAAGCAGAAACAAAGAGGCCAGCGTTGAGCCCAGAGCAGGGGCTATGCAAGGAGTATCACTCAGAAGTGGGCGGACACTGGAACCCCAGAGGGCTTCTCAGATCGAGGACCAGGGTGGGGTGCAAACCACAGGACCACAGCTAGGACCTCATGCCTCCTGAGGCTCAGATCTGCTCCAGGCTGGGAGGACACCCCGGCACACAGGTGTCCCCTCCAACCTCTCCAGGGACTGGGCAGGGGCTGGGAGAGGGGGCCGAGCCAGCACGTGCGAGGTGGGAAGGGGCAGAGTGAGCAGGGCCTTGGCATGTCTTCTTGAAGCCAGAAGAGGCAGGCCAAAGACAGGTATGACTTCAAATAACTGTGTTAAATAAATTAGAAGTTACCTGTACTACTAAATAAAAATGTTTGTATTTTGAAATGAGTACACACACCACCCCTCTTAAGGTGTGAGACAATGTCCTTTATTTGGGCACCCTTATAAATAAGGTGATAGTGTTTAAAAAATGTTTACCAATTCAGTGGATGGAAACTACCTCATCGTTTTTTTCTTCTTGTGGTGCCAGGGCTTGAACCCCAGGCCTGCAGCATGCAGGGCATGCTCGGCACCACGCAGCTCCACCCAGGCCCAATGCTGCCACCCTCCTATTTATTCCCTAGCAGAGCTGGATGTGTCCCTGTGCTCCCGTGAGTCTGTTCTATTTTTCATGCTGTCACCTGCTGCCTCCTGTGCCAACTGTGGCTTCAGCGCACATCATGGGTGTCCCACGTGGCCTGAGCTCCTCTGGCTCCTCTGCTGGGGTGGCAGAGACTGACACCAGTGTGTGGGTGAGGCCAGGGTCCCAGCACCCCGCCCTCCCTCCCAGGACTCTGTCCTGCTCTTCTGACACCACTGACAGGACAACAGAGAGGGGTCCATGTCCCCGAGGCTGGTGTCACAGCATGGGCATGCAATGGTGCACCCGGGCTCCAGGGAGAACACATGGCTGCAGACCTCCGTCTGTCCTGGCTCCTGAGGAGCAGGCGCCGTTGCGGTGCCCTCTTCTCTTGCAGCTCCTGTGCAGCACGGCCCCCCTGCTTCTGCATCATCAGGAAGAGGCCAGTGTGTCTGCCCACCCAGCAGCCCCTCGCCAACAGCTCAGAGAGGTACGGGGAGGGCAAGAAGACACACGGTGGCCACAGGACTGAGCGTCTTCAGCTCCGCATTCTTGCTTGGGCTTCCTCGGTCTGTTCTCGGCGTGTGCATGTGCACGTGTACATGTGTGTGTGTGTGTGCACGCACACGTGTGCACCTGGAAGGATGCTCCATGCAGTTTTCCTGCTCATACATCAAACGTGGCTTCCCTGGAGTAGAGAAGGCACCCAGACCTGGGTTCCAGAGAGCACAGCTCCAGTGGCCACAAGGGCCACTGGCACCATCCTGCATGGTGTCTCTCCAGCAACAAGTGTGGAGTCAAGAGTCTTAGCTCAGCCCTCAGCTCCTCAGCCAAAGCTGTCTCCATCCACCACAGAAAGAGCCATGAGGGCTCTGGTGAGAGGGAACTTCCTGGCTCCTGCTTCTACCTTGAGGACAGCAGCTTGGGGCCTTGCACACAGGTCCCACTGTGGGCCGAAGAGCTGGCTTCCTGTCCTGAGACTCAGGGGCCACGCCTGCAGGAAACTGTCCCCAGGGAGTACAGCAAGCGAGTGCAGAGGCCAAATGGTCTTGAAACCCACAGAAAGAAAACTGTGCCTGAGAATCTTGCTCACCGGAGCCGGAGGGCCCAGAGCTGGGGCCTGCAGTGCCTGGGGAAGAACAAAGTTTTCTGCACCCCTCCAAAGACAGAGAATGAAAATGCAAGATCTGAATGCCTTGTACACACACACAAGCACACGCACACACAGACACGCACACACTCTGACACACATGTGCATATGCATGCACAAAACTAAAGACAAAACACACGTGTCCACACACACACAGGCACTCACACATACATGGGCACAGTGTGTGCACACAGGTACATGGACATGCATAGATGTACGTACACACACACGCATGCATGCATGCACCCGTAGACAACGGCACACAGGAGCACACACAGGTATCCTCCTGCAGGTGTCGCAGCCAATGCCAGGCCTGGAAGAGCAGGAGCGGGGAGCATGCACTGCAGACAGGAGCGACCCTGCAGGCAGAAGGCGCAGGAGGGGGTCCAGGGACGCAGCCCGCAGCCTGAGCGACTTCACAGGCTCACGAAGCACTTGCCACGGTTATGAGAGGCTCAGCCACGACACTCGGCATCCACGGTAATGAGAGGCTCAGCCACGACACTCGGCATCCGCAAAGCTCAGGGCACCTGGGCCAACTGTGTCCCTTGTTAAGGGACATTTCTATGACAGCAGGACTGAAGGAACCACTGAGTTCAAAAGCACCTGCTACAGAGCCCTCTGTCCTCCTTTCCCACCTTGATCCTTTTTGAGGTCAGGCCAGCTCTCCACGCCCTGCCAGTGGCTGCTGGAGTGCAGAGCATCAGGTGATTTTCCTGCTCCACTGTTCCCTAGGAGACAGGATGTGTGCCGGGCACTGCATCCTGCTCGAGCCTCCTCACAGGCTGGAAAGGGGCCCCCGAGGGGTGGTCAGGACTCATGGCTGTCCTCCAAGGCTGACAGGAACACCAGGTTTCCAAGAAATGTTTGTTTGGGCTGTAGGGTGTTGGGGCCGATTCTCCCAGGGAGCAAGGACACACATAGGTCAGAAAACGGGAAACAGAGAGCACATACTGCACAGGGATAGAGTGGGGTTGGGAAGGAGGGGCTGCGGGCTGCAGTCAGGACCAGGATCTTCAGTGGCTTCCTGGGGACTCCCTCCCACCACCTCTCCTGGCACACCTGCAAAGAGGGTTGTCCATCCGTCACAGGCTGCTGAACACAAGTGTTTGCTGTGTTAGTTCAAGATGAGGACATACTCTGTGTGTGTCACCTCCTGCTCCACAGCATTCCATCGTGGTCAGAATAGCTCCCGAATCTGCCCCCTGCCCATCCGTACAAGCAGTAGACAGAGAACAGGGGCAGAGGCATGTGAGTCACACCCACACTTGAACATTAAGTTCAGCACGAGTGTGGTGCAGGAACAGGCCAGCGTGCACGGGAAGATGCTGGCCACGGAGCTCTGCAAGCTGCGCGTGGAGGGTAAGGCCTCCAAGGCAGCACAGAGACCCTCAGAGTACTGGAGCCACGCAGCAGCTCTGGGAGCGGACACTGCAGCTCCCGGGCAGGACCACAGCTCTCCAGGTCACAGGAAGAGGAGTGGGGTGGGCGAGTCCTGGCAGAGTAGGGGGCCCCACTGGAAGGACTGGGGCTTGGGGTGCATGTCAACACTTGCTCTCCTTCCAAAGGGGAGAACACCCCGAGGAGCCAGCCCCGTGTGCCCACTGGGTAGTCTGTCTGTTCAGTTACCCAAAAGCACCTTGCAATGTCTCAAAATAAATCTTACCACCAATTAAGCTTGACTGATAAAATTCAGGATGCCAAGTAACTTCAGAGAAACTTTTTTTTTAGTAAAAATATATCCTATGCAATACTTAAGACATTCTTCCACTTAAAATTTCAATATGCATCTGAAATTCAAATTTAGTTGGGCATCTTGGCTTTCTGAGGGGTTTTTTTATGTTTGTTTGTTTGTTTGTTTGTTGAATACAGCTGCTGTGTTTGTTAGAAACTGACTCGTGTGGCCAGCCGTGCAAATGCCCCAGAAGTGGTGCCTGAGGTCAGCAGGCTGTGGGCAGCAAGCACACTCCGAGGAGTTGGTGCCCTCTGCTAATACATGTGGCTGTTAGAGCCCCACGCTGCACACCATGAGTGTGCATAATTTCTCATTTGCCAGTTTAAAGTTAAGTAATACAATAAAGTCATAAAACATAAAAGTAAAAGCATTTCTAAAAGATAGTTTAACATTGCAGGTTGACCTCTAAGCCACGCCATGTTGATATGAAACAGGGATCTCCCCAGTCGGGTGGCCCGGCTTGGGCTGTGGTAACAAAAGAGCCCAGCTGTCCGCAGATGTGTGTGTGAGTGTGTGTGTGTGTGTGTGTGTGTGTGTGTGCTGTCACTGCCCGTACACCTGTCTCTCGGGCAGAAGAGGGGGTCCTGGGCTGGAGAGGTGCAGGCCGCCTCTTCCACCAGCTCGGCCTCCTTCCTAGCTAGGTCGCAGGAGAAGTTTTGCCGCTGGTGGTCGCCTTGTTAACCTTAGCAAGAGTAACGATTGTGATTCTCAGATCCACGCAGCCCAATTTCCAGCAATTAGCTAGGTAATTTGCTTCCCAAGAGCCCCCATGGTGAATTGCCCATTAAGTAAATATCTGATGCATTGACAGTCTTCCTGCACCACTGAGCTGAGATAGCAAATGAGCGATAATTACACTTAAGCATGTGCTCATCTGCAGCGCCTTTGTTCCCGGCTCTGGTCTCCAGCACCAACAGCAGCAGGATGAGCTCAGGGACAGAGGCTCCAGCCCATTTCACTGACGGTAAAGCTGAGAAAAATAAACAGGAATTGCTTGGGTGAGAAATGTGCCTTTTGGATGCCTACTAACCCCCGCCGGCTTTGCTTATTCATTTTCAAATACCTAACGCAGGCTCACTGGGTGTTGGGTGAGTGCTGCGGCCGACCGCTCTGGTGTCTGGTGGTGCATGCGGCGGCCCTGGCCCCGGCACTCTCACGGGCCCAGGGCCACTCGCTGGGCTTACAGAGGCGGCTGCTGCTTGCAAAGCAGTGATTGGGAGCAGCCCTGGTTAGACCCTCGGCCCTTCTGCACCTGTGTGTCATGAGCTCCCTGTGAGAGGGACAGCCACACGGGTGTCCCAGGCCCGAGACCCAGCCCTGGCTTCACCATGCCAGGGTGTCTGGGGAGGAAATCTTGTCCCGCAGCCTGTCTCACCTTGTTAACAGGAAAGAAATGCTTCTTTCTTCCAGAAGGGAAAGCTGCCCTCTGTTTCCAGCTTCTAGAATTCATCTCCTGCCAGAGGTGGCTTGGGACTTGGAGTCTGTCAGGACTGTCTGCACACTTGACTCCCCGGAATGAGAGTGCCCTGGCACTCGGTATAATGCCCAGATCATGTGTACACAGAGACAGAGACGGAGGCAGAGACAAGGCTGACCTCAGTCACCAAGCTTGCTCACGTCCCAGTCAGTGTTGTCCAATCTGTAAGGTGGGAGTGACAGAGGTGGCCAAAGTTCCCACAGGAGGGACAAAGATGGTGAACAGGAAAAACCACAGGCTTAAATGATGCCGAGTCGTGCAGGCTGAGTGCGTCTCCAGGAACTTCACAGTGAGCAGTCCTGAGACCTCAGGGCAGCTTCTCCACGGTGTCACCTTCTGTAGCCAAGGAACACAGACCGCAGGACACAGCATGTGAACAGCGCGGGGCTCAGCGACAGTGCGTAGCAGGAGGAGCCGCCTCCCAGCCCCCCGTTGCAGAGAGCGGATCACCTCCGGCTGCTAGGACTCAAACCCATAGCAGGAGGCTCTCGGAGCCAGGCTGGGCGGCAGCTGCTGCAGCTGCCCCATGACACACGGTTGGGTTTCAGCTCCTTGTCAGGAACCTGGGTAGCACGTGGTCACTGCAGCCCCACCTAGTGAGAGGATCCCCTGTGGTGGGCGCTGTGGTGGGGTGTAGATGGGTCCCTCAGCTCACCGTTAAGCTGCCCCGGGTTGTGGTCTTCGATCCACGGCTGGGGCAGTTGTGGGACTGTTGCAAAAGATTAATGAGAGAATGAGATAAGGTTTCCAAATGGTTGGGGACCATCAGAGAAAAGAGCACGACGCAAAGCGTTGCTGTTAGGGCCTTGGAGAGAGCATGTGGCGACCCGTCAGTGGTCAGCCAAACTTGGTTACAAGTTTCCTGTTGCCCAGAAGGTAGCAGGAGCAGAGATGTGCAAGTTGCGGTGCTCACGGCCACCCCATGAGGTCACCAGCCATTAGAGTTGAATCATCCCATTAAAAAGTCAAGGTTTCTGGGTTTGTGCCTTCCCGGTGCTTACTAAGCCCACGTGCGGTCGGGCATGAAGTCACACTGACTTCTGGGGCGGGAGCTTGCACATCGGACTCACCCTCTGCTCTCCACCCATTCCCAGAAGACACCTGTTGGGTGCCATCATTGCCCAGGGCGCGCCCCTGCGTGGCAGACAGGGCCCACGTGGGAAGGATAATGGCCCCCCAGGCTGCACACGGACTCCAGGGCCAAGGAAGTGGGCGGCTGCCGGGAGCCCCTCCCTGGGTCCCCACAGGAGGAGTGCACAGCTCACATGCCCCGGAGGACACACACAGCTTACACATATGACCTACACACACCACATATACACGCAAGAGAGACACACAAATGCTCACGCCACACACACATACATGTGTTCACACTACTGACACATGCGCAGACACACTTGCCACAGTAATGACTCTGTGTTGTTCATGAGCCGAGCAGCACCTGCTGGCCTGGCAAGTGTTGGCCTTCAGCTCAGCATGCGACCCCTTCACCCCTGGGGGTCGCAGGGCCCTGTGCACCGTGCTCTGAGGGCCCGCGTGCCAGGCTCATGCAGCTGCTAGGCACAGACTTGCTGTGCCCCATGCCACACAGCCAGAGCCTTGGGCTCCCCACAGCCCTGCAATTAGACCCTTGGTGCTAATGAATATGTTAATGATGCTAATTACCATAACCATCATTTCATTAGTGAGCTGACCCCGCCAAGGTGGAAGGAAGTTCTTTGGTTTTCTGCACTCTGACTAAAGGCTCCAGCATGCAGAGGGCAGAAGATTAGATTAAGACACCCTGGAGGACCCCAGACCTCCACAAAGGGGAGGGCATCGAAACAGTCTGCTCCAGACCTGGGAGAAGAGTCACAGCAGGTGCAGCTTCCCAGCCCAGCTGTGAGCGTGATTTGTCAGAGCCGGGACCTGTTTGCGGGAGAAAGAGAGCCTGTCTCCTGGTGACCTCGGGTCTGCCTGGGTTCAGCAGCACACGGGCGCAGCACAGGCTGGGCCCATGCATCAGAAGCTTGTTCCGGCTCAGGCACAAGTATACAGGGCGGCCTGCAGACAGATGGGGGAGCCGGGCCCCAAGAACCCGTCATTTCCAGCTGGACCCAGAGGAGCATGTGGAGCGTGAAGCCTTCACCACTTGACAGACAGGCTGGGCTACAGTTCGTACGCAGTTGTTCCCGTGAAGCCTCTTGTGATCCTGGCTGTATTAGTCAGGGTTTTACTAGAGGAACAGATAGCATACAAAAAAACAGATTTAACACAAGACGTACCAGTCAGAGCTGGATGAGGAAGCGTGCAGAGGGCGTCTGCACACCGGAGACTGAAGGATTCGGTCCCAAGGTCCCAAGCTCACTACAGTGTTCCGTGCAAGTCTCTACCAGTCGGCCGATGGGTCTGTGGCAGAAGGCTGAAGAATCTGCAACAGAAGCTGAAGGATCCTGCCGGAGGCCGAAGCCTGCGCTGCAAGCCAGGGGACAAAGTCCAAGCTGACCGTCAAGACTGAAGCTCCTCTGAGGAAGTGGAATGTGAACCCTTCCTCAGCCCCTCCCTGTGTAGCCCCTTTTTGTGCTGAGTCCCTCTGGAGCAGGCCCCCACAGCCCAGAGTGTAGAACGGGGGAAGTGATCCAGCCAAGTTGACACAATGTATGGACCACTACACTGGGGTGGGCTCAAGAGTGGACTGGATCATGGGGCTACACTGCGCATGGCATAGTCCACTGACAGGCTCATGATTGAGGGAGATGTTGGCAGGTGGGGTCTGCTGGGAAGAGGTGTCCTGGGGTGTGACCTGGAGGAGTGGTCCCCCTCCTCCACCCTCTGTGCTTCCTGTCGCCATGAGGTGAGCGGCTTTGTCCTCCTCCAGGCCCCTCTGCCAGGCCATTTCTTCCTTGGAGCCAGATGACCACGGACTGCACCATGAGCCAAAATGTGTAGGCTGCTGTGTCTCAGAAAGGGAAAGTGGCCAGGATGGGCCGGGGCTTAGCGGCCAGCTGTCTGCCAGCAAGAGGAGCAATGCGCCCAGCTAGCGCCCCTGCTGGAATCTGAGTGTGTGATGAAGGGGACCCAGGCGGGAGATCCTGAGGCCAGACGACCACTGGGTCACCCAGACGGGCCCTGGCCCAAGCCCCACCATCGATAAACTTGTAGGAATTTGCTATAGCAGCGGTCAGACACTAACGCGTGCATAAGTGACGCTCTGACCACAAGCCTACCTGATACAGGGGCTTTCCCCACAGCTATCTCAGATCTGCTGGGATGGCTTCTGGGCCCCTAGACTTCTCAGACACTGGTCCCTGGTGCAGGGCAGTGTGCTGCCTGTCTGTGGCCCATGTGGTCCACCTCTGGAGGACCTGACGCCGGCGCAGTGTGAATGCTATGCCAGGAGCATCACAGTGATGTGACAGTGGCCGCAAGTCGGCAGCATGTGCAGGTCGTCCATGTCATTGGTGCTCAACCCTGATTCAGGAGGTGATGCCTTCCCACGGCATGGGGAGGAAGCTGAGGACAGGGCCTCCTGCACACTTGCGGTGTTGCTGGGTGGGGGCTGCAGCAGGACCTTTGGCCCCAGCTCTTGCTGCTTAGGCTGTGGGGGTGGAGGAGGGGCTCCGGGAGCCAGCAGGAGCCAGCCCGGAAGGGCAGAGAGCACAGACGGGCCCTGGGGTGGGGAGATGCTGCAGGAGCAGGAGGAGGAAGGAGACAGGCAGCTCCTGCTCAGCTTGGCGGCTAGACTCGGGCGAGAGAGCCCCAGACTCCAACAGCGCAAGTGTCTCTCCCTCCATGCAGGGTGGGCAGTGGAGAGGTGGCAAGGCAAGCGCATGGACAAGGCTTTCCTGGAGGACTAGTGCATGGGGAGGGGGAGAGGTGCAAGGAGCGCAGGAGGGTGCCTGCGCACAGAGACAAGGTCGGAGGGAAGCCGGCTGAAAGGGAGAGGAAGAGCAGGCGGAGGAGAAGTCACCACAATAAATTACCTGCGTAGGCAGAAACGCTGGCAAGCAAGCGAGCAGCAAGTGGAACCTGGGGCCCGCCCAAAGACAAGCCCAGGGAGGTGCCCCAGGCCCCTCAGGGACTCTGGGACTCTGCGCCCAGAAGACCTGGCCCGGCTCTGGTCAGCAGCCTGTGTGGAGGCGAGGCTTTGCCCAGGCCTGGCCTCACAGGCCTTCCTGTCTTTCCTTGTGCATTTTCAGGAAGTAGCCTCAGAGCCTCATGGCACGGACGTGAGCATGACTTTGTGTATCCCCGGCTTTGGCCAAGTAGGAGGGAGGAGCCTTGCATCTGTAGTGAACACAAATAGGTGTTTTCTTGTTCTCATTCCCTAAGTACGAGGGTATATCGACAGCTATTGGCATAGCATTCACACTGCGCCGGCGTCAGGTCCTCCAGAGGTGGACCACATGGGCCACAGACAGGCAGCACACTGCCCTGCACCAGGGACCAGTGTCTGAGAAGTCTAGGGGCCCAGAAGCCATCCCAGCAGATCTGAGATAGCTGTGGGGAAAGCCCCTGTATCAGGTAGGCTTGTGGTCAGAGCGTCACTTATGCACGCGTTAGTGTCTGACCGCTGCTATAGCAAATTCCTACAAGTTTATCGATGGTGGGGCTTGGGCCAGGGCCCGTCTGGGTGACCCAGTGGTCGTCTGGCCTCAGGATCTCCCGCCTGGGTCCCCTTCATCACACACTCAGATTCCAGCAGGGGCGCTAGCTGGGCGCATTGCTCCTCTTGCTGGCAGACAGCTGGCCGCTAAGCCCCGGCCCATCCTGGCCACTTTCCCTTGCTGAGACACAGCAGCCTACACATTTTGGCTCATGGTGCAGTCCGTGGTCATCTGGCTCCAAGGAAGAAATGGCCTGGCAGAGGGGCCTGGAGGAGGACAAAGCCGCTCACCTCATGGTGACAGGAAGCACAGAGGGTGGAGGAAGGGGACACGGCCACCCAGGAAACTGTGTTTCCACCTAGGACACCCATGGGATGAAAGAGGAAGTTTGGTGGCTCAGAGACCCACACGTGTCCCCTCATCAGCAAGGCCCTGGGCATCCTGTTTCATGGACAAGAAGGCAAGATTCAGAGAGCAGGCCGGGGAGATAGCTCAGCGGCACAGTGCTGGTCTGGTAAACACAAGGCCCCAGTTTGATTTCTGGTCAGAGAGAGAAAAGAATCTATCCCTGAAACCACAGCCGAGCCAGAATGCAGACCCACGTCCGTGCACCACAGTGTCCCGAGCCCCACAGTGTCCCGTGCACCACGGTGTCCCGCACCCCTGAATGGCAGGCGCTCCCTGGGTGATCATGGGCAGATCCACCTCTTGCGGCCAGTGCAGAGAAACCTGGGAAGCTCGCAGCTCATGTGGAAGCAGAGAATTTACTCTTTCTTCTTAGGGAGGAAAAGAGCGCCCACCGCCCCTGCTGGCCCTCGCAGCCCTCCACCCCACCCCCGGGCCGCCCC